TTAGGTAGAGACATGCTGGATACAAAGGGCTGAAATAAATGAGTAATCGTTAACATAAAATAATAGAACATTTTAATAAAATTAATATTCTTTTCTTGAACATTAACTTATCAGACACTGAATAACTGCACAAATTAGTAAGCATAATGCAAGTAAACCTATTTTTCTTGTTCTCTGAAAGCAAAATATTTCCTGTTGCCGCACACCAAACAAGTCAGTCCAAGACTAATGATGTGGCAATCGGCTGCTAAAATATTTGTCGCTAATATTAATGGAGAGAAATGGTGCGCCTGCGCATAAGGTGTGTAAGGGAAATGGATGCAACACGATTATAGTAATTAGTCATTAGTGAACGTTGTAGTTCATTATTAATAATTATGTATAACATATTGTAAAAATTAAGTTACAAAATTTTTATTAAAACGTTTCTTATATACCTTTATATTGGCTGGGCCACAAAAATATTCGTTGTGGGCCGCGAGTTTGACATGCTTGATGTACACACAGTCCACCCAAGAACCACTGCCCTTGGAGACAGATGCGGTGGCCCCGCGTGCATTCACTTTCTTCCTTTCTCTGGTTTGTTTACGCATCTTGGCCTCTTTCTCCACTAGCACCTCCTGCCCTAAATTTTGGCAGAGGTGTGACGTCCTGAGTGTGGTCTCGGGCTGCATTCTGCTCTCGGAATGGCCTCTTCTCCCTCTGTGTCTGACCCTGGTGAGGAAAGGCAGTGAGAACACCTTCTTCATAGCCCCTCCCACGCTTATTTTCCCCAGATTTGTCTATTATTAAGAGGATCCTGAAAACACTCATCTTTGCTGTGTCCTTGCACACGTAATTCACTCCCTCTCCTGCGGTGGCAGCGGCGCAGGCTCAGGGGTGGCTTCTCATTGGCTGGCTGAGTCACCTGCAGCTCTGGGAGTGGGACGCTTGCTCCAGGTCACAGGCTGAGGGGACAGCAGGGCTGGGTGAGAGCCTGGCTCCAGGTGCGCGGCCCGCAGGGCTCCAGCATCCTCACCCGCTGCCGCAGCACTGGGGGAGGTGTCACCTCCCGCTGGTGCCTCACCACCTTTTGGTGCATTCAGCCACCAGGGAAGGCACTGCCACCACCAGCAGCACTGGCCAAGACCTTTCTCTGCAGCGGAGGTTGGGGATCTTTCTTTCCCTGTCCTTCTGTAACTGTATTTTCACTGCAGTGGTGATGTTTAAGTCATGTTTTGAGCTTATCACATCTTTCCTGGGTGCTGGAACACATGCCACGGGAGGTCCAGGCCTGTGTCTGACCCGAGTGGTTAAGGCGCAGGCTCCAAAGGCAGATGATTCTTCTTCACCAAACCCTTACTCCTTGGCGATTCCAAGACGGGGTGTTGGCAGTATGTTTTTAGGGTATTGTAGACTCAAGGGCACAGTGCATGCAAACTCTTTCCTCAAATACAGGGGTGGGCAGAAGTGGGCCTGCAGCTGTGCGTGTGGAGAAAGGTCGGCACGCTCTGATGCTCGCAGGAGCTTTAGCAACTGTCACCCCACTTCTGCTCCCCCCCGCCGCCCCCGGGTGCTCCCGCCGTCATTCTCACCAGCAGACCTGTGGGGTCAGTCAGTATCTGACTGTTGCCAGTGTGAGGACGTCCTTTGTGCATGTCAGACCTTAGGAAAGTATCAACTGTCACCTGTGGTCCAGACAGGAGGCCCCAGGTGGGAAGGTCAGTCCCTGCACTCCACACACTCAGAGCCTGCCGGGTCCCCCAGCCGCCTGGTCCCCCAGCCCCACCTCCTCTGGGTCTTTTAGGGGAGCCCTCCTTTCCCAACTGGAAGGGACCCGAGTATTGTCCTCAGAGAGCCCTGTCTTCCCATCCTGACTGGTCCAGGATGCTCCTCTTCTGTAGTTATTGGTACTCATTGCTATGCATGCTTCTTTTGTTATTAGTTCAGGCCAGAGGCTGTCAGTGCTTGTTCAGATCCTGGGAACTGTTGGGTTGCCAGCAGTCTGATGTGAATTCTGCAGACTTGGCACCTGGCGGGATCGTCAGCAGGAGCGGAGAGGCTAGGCGTCTCCATCCTGTTCTGTCCCTGCTCCTCACAGTCACTGCGTAGCTGGGAGAGTGGCCGGAAGTTAATCGCACAGAACATGGTGCCACTCTGGCGTCCTCCCTGTTCGCACAGCTGTGACGGGACGTTCAGGGGGATCGTTTTGGAGACAGTGCGCATCACACCCACATGACTGGCTATTGACCGTGGTTTTGTTGTTCCTTATTTGTGTTGGATGGCGTGACAGTGAGGGTGCTTTCGTCAGCCTAGTTTCTCCAGACTCTTGTCTAAAGGGTGGTCTCAGCAACACCGCGAGGAACATTTGCGGGAAATTTCTAGTGTAGAAATGTCGATAGAAAGCATTGCCTGGTAGTGGGTCAGTTTATGGATTTCTGGTTCTGAACATGATGTGAGAAGTAGAGGTGAGGAGCCAGTGTTGGGTGGGCGGCCTGCCTTCAGTGCTACACACCGGCCGGCATGGGGAGCCCACTGCAGTGAGCCTGCGACGTTTAGAGTCTGCACTTTGTCTGCTAGTGAGAACTGCAGCGTGGTTTCATCCTTCAAACTTAAAAAATACCCAGTTAAATATATGTAGATGTTGTGGTTATCAGCTTTTGATGTATGTAGTTATACACTGAAATATTTTTACTTAATTTGTAAGTCAAGTAGTTTGAGCATTTTTATTTTAGACTAGAGGCCCAGTGCACGGAATTCGTGCATGGGGGGGGGGTGGTCCCTCAGCCCAGTCTGCACCCTCTTCAATTCAGGACCCCTCGGGGCATGTCCGACTGCTGGTGTAGTCCCGATCCCACAATCTGGACATCCCTCTCGCAATCCGGGACCACTGGCTCCTAACCGCTCACCTGTCTTCCTACCTAATCACCCCTAACCCCTCTGCCTGCCTGCCTGATCACCCTTAACCTCTCTCCCCTGCCAGCCTGATTGCCCCTAACCACTCTCCCCTGCCAGCCTGATCGCCCCTAACTGCTCTGCCTCGGCCCCCGCCACTGTAGCTTTGTCTGGAAGATGTCCGGTCTATCCAGTCTAATTAGCATATTACCCTTCTGTTAGTATAGATTCCTAGTCATTGAATGGTAATCTGAATCCCAGGCCCAACAGCCGCAATTCTCATCAACGTGATTTTGTGACATTGCCGCATTCAACAGCCTGGTCTTCCCTTTAGATTCTGGAGGACCTGGACGAGCAGATGTACATTGTTGCCCTTGAGGAGGAGGCGCTGCAGAGACGGCTCGCCGGTATGTACGCAGAGCACTAAGTCGGGGAACCTGGCATGTAGCTCAGAGAAAACAGGGTCTGGTGCAGCGTCTCAGGCCTCTGCTCTGCACGTGGCAGGACTCAGAGTGAAAGGGCCTTTGGGAAGAAGGGCTGCGAGACGGGCGGCTTTTGGTCACATTCCCATGATTCCCTGGCTGATCTCCTAAAATTGAGCAGGGCTGGTTCAGTTCCGAGACCCTGGCCACCACGCTGTGCCCACTTCCCTGTCCTTGTGTGGCAGCACCGCGACCCTGGCTGCTGAGGTGGCAAAGCTGCATGTTGTCCGGTGAGTCACACCGCGTCTCATTCCCTCCTGCGGACTCGGGGGTAGACGCATGTGTCCCTGTGGCACTGAGGCTGTGACCTGCTCTGGGTGGCACCTGGGACTCTGCTGGCATGTGGGAAGGCATTCATCGTCAGCTGATGACTAAGTGAGCACAGCACAAATTTTAAAGTTTAATTTCTAATTACTGGTTATTTTTGGCTTTAAATGAAGAACTAAGAAAGAAAAGAGTAATGATATGATGAAAAATGACAGTTTGTGTAAGTTTTATTTTTATTTTACTTGGGTGATTTTCACCCTGCACACTTTTCTCTTACAAAGTAATTTTAATGTTGAAAATCTGCCACCAAGTTCAGGTTATGGATAGCTAACTGTATTTCAGAATCCTAATTCAAGGGTAGGTATAAAGTGAAAGGTTACTTTAAGTATAAAATATTGAGAAATAGGAAGACATATATCTACTTTCTTTAATTACAAATAATGAATTTAAATCTTCAACCCAAGAGTGTTCGTAACATTTAGAGCGTGTTCTTAGAGGAAAGAATTTCAGGTTGTGTCTATTCTAGAGAATTCTTGTCAGTAATATTTGTGCATTTTGATACCAGTAACTTTTAGAGTGGAACTACATGTATCTTTTATCCTTCTAACTTTATTGAAGTTACTTTAAGATTTAAACCTATTTAATTCAAGAATTGTAACTTCAGTCAGTGCTGTTGACTTTATAACATACTGAAGTGACAAATATAATGATAAATTTGTCTTATTTAGAGAATCATGTGGGTGTGTAATAAACACACCAGAATTGTAGGAACCAGCGGTCGCCAACCTTTCGGACCTCACGGACCACCAGTGGCCCCTGGACCACCGGTTGGCAACTGCTGGTAGGAACCATGTCGAGCAGACGCCCCAGTATGGGGACTGTTTGCACCGAGCCATGCGCTATTTCAACCTCCAGGCCAGTGGCTGCGACCCAGGGAGGTAAAATATAGTGCTCCATGAATTAAAGAATTTGAGTCAAATCTAATCCAAACCAAATCAAATCAAAACCATAGCCTTTACTCACTTTGCCCTTCACAGCAGGAAAATGATGCTGCGGAATCCTTCTAGATGCTTTGGCTGCTCCAATCCAAAGGGGTTCACTACACCCAGAGACACTGAAAGGGAAATGTCTGCCAGAGGCTGATGTGTTACAAGAGGCAGCTAAGCCAGAATGGCAGACCCCCAACCAGCTCAGAAATGTCTGCAGCAGTGGGGGCACCAATGCTGGGCGGAATCTACCTGCCTCAGGGAGATGGGAGCCAGCACTGAGATCTGTGTCTGCCGTTGGGGAGATGGGGGGAGATAGGGAGAGAAGGGGGCCAGCGCGGAGATCTGTGTCTGCCCTGACCGCTCTGCTGGCGGGTGGGTCACAGTCTCCCCGCCAGACTCCACCTGCTGGTGAGCCAGTGGCTGTAGTTTTGCTGTTTGCCGCTGGTGGGCTGTTTCAGGTGGAAACAGGCTGGGAACAGAAATAGCTCCGGGACAGAATGGACATTTGGACTAATTACGTGACGGACTGTGAGCTTCAGTGTGTCTGTCAGTGTGTGCAGAGGGAAGAAGCAAGAGGCAACGGAACAGCATTTTATGATTTGCTGTTTTAAAGAAAATGGAGATCCTAGAGGTTAGTAATAGAAATCCGCATGGGTTTATTACTCTAGTATTATGTGAAATGTATTGTGTTGTAAGTTATATTTTAAATCATTTTTTAAAATTGAAGTTTAACTTTTTTATTCTGGGCTACTAAAAAGAGTTGCAGTATGATCAAAGTAAAAAACACTTAAAACAATAATACAGATGACACGGTGACGAACCCAGAATGCATGGCGGTGTTCTGCTGATGGCACACAAGCATGCGACACGCATCCCATGAGACTTGGACATCCGTGTGGTTTGCTCTGAGCCCTGCTTCCTGGGACCTGGAAAAGCCCGAGCCCCTGCCGAAAGCGCGTCCCTCAGGAGCAGCCCTGCCCGGTTCTGGGAGGCCCTCGGCTGCTTTGGGGGTTATGACGTCACTAGAGCTGAATTTTTGCGCTGGCTTTTCCAGGCAGCCTGGCTCTGAAGGCTGCCGGCCTGACTTCACATTCCCATCTGACACATGAGGGCCAGAGGCTGTCCTTGGTGACAGTGTCGCCGCTTCCTGAAGGCTGTGAGGAAGATGAGCTGCCTGCGTGCCACGGTCAGTCAGCTCCTCCCCTCACGTCGGCCGCGCGCCTTCTTCCCAGCAGCACTTTTGGGCAGGTGAGTTCCAGCTGCGTCTCAAGTTCATGGACTAGCTGCCTGAAGACAGAGGAAAAGGGCGAGAATCTGCGAGACTGTCCGGGACTGAGACACTGGGAAAAGGCATCCTGCGGAGCAGGGAGGAAACCCAGCTCTGCTGGTTCAGACAGCCCTCTGGGCCGTCCTCACGGCAGCGTAGAGACCGTCTCCAGAGCCCCTGCGATCCTGGCAGGGCTCCCGCCACTTCACCCAGCACCCGGTCTCCCAGCCGGTCAGCCTCCAGCTCCCCTCCCCTCGGACCCTCCTGCATCAGTCAGTCTGGGTGTCGCGTGCTCTCAATCCTATAGTGCTCCTGCTTCAGTCGGAGACAAGCCCACCCACCCTCTCCTGCCTCTCCCCGCAGCTGCCCTCACTGTCCCCTCCCGCAGGCACCCAGTGGTTGCCTCCCTGTGCCCCACCTGCCCTGTCTGTGCCCCTTGAGCTTTTGGACTTGAGTCCCTGTTGTGAAGCTGATGCTGCCGCCACCCCTCCCTCCCCCTTATGTCTTGGTCCTCCCACTCTGTCCTCAGCGCTTTCCACCAACTGACTTCCCGTCTTCCTTTTCCCGTTGTGTCTCTGCAGTGGAGCAGGGACACCACAGGGCAGGGGTTTCTGCTGGTCCCTTCCGTGCCCCTGGCCCTGGGACATTGCCAGATGGCGTGGTGTGGTGGAGGGTGGCACTTCCCCCGGAGGTGAGGAAGATGTAGGGTGTGCTTGGGGGCATGAAGGCAGGGTCCCAGGGACAGAGCCCAGGTCCCACAGCAGGGCCCCTGAGGACAGGCCGGGTCCAGGGGTGTTCTCTAGGAAGCAGAAGTAAGGGGACATTTCCCAGTTGGTCATGTGCACTATGAGCAGTGAAGATGCCTTCTCCAGACCCTACAGAGGAGCCCCATCGGTAGTTGTGGTGGGAAGCCCTTTGTACCTCCTGCAAGGGCCACGCACATCCTCAGCACACGCACAGTGGAAGTGAGGCAAAAGCATTAATGGAAATAGCAAGCCTTTGTGTGCGTAGCCAATGGGTGTGCAGGTAACTTGGAAGCACCGCAATGGGCAGGGATTAGCTTTTGTTAAGTTCAAAACCTTCACAGTTCTTTTAATGTAATTTATTTAAATTTAAGGTAATTTATTTTAAAATTTTGTAGGCTTTGAACTTAATGATTCAGTGCAGTTTTGTTAGGTACAATTTTTACCTTCATGATAAAAACTTAATGTATCATTTTTGGTAGCAATTACTTTCCTGCTTGATTCTAACCTTTTTCAAAACCTGGTCCTCCAAAGCTTCATTACTCCTTATTCTCAGAGGCATTTTCCCTGAGTGTCAGGTTGTAATGCCTTTGTATCTGAAGGATAAAGACTTTCAGAAATAACACATGGCCCTTCCGTGGCACGGTGGCTGGCAGCATTGTGTCCTCAGGCCTGGAGTCTTGCTGTTCACAGCTGGGTGAGTTGCCTGGCGCTTTTAGGCGATGCCCAGGTTTAGGGAGGCGTTTGTGCTGCTCTAGAGTAATGGGTCCTGTCAGAGCACCTTCCGGCTTCCTGGGCAGACAGCTGGCTGACCGGTCATTACTTGCCTGACGTCTTCTCCTAACACCCTTAACAGTGTACGGAAGCTGAGGTCCGATTTCATCTGATGGCCTCCACCTTACTTTCATCTCGATGCTTCGGTTCTTCTATGCCAGCAATGGGTATTTTAAGAATCCTGTGTACCGTGGGGTCTATCACGGAGTGACAATAACTCAGATTTGCCGCCTCTGGGCCCTGGTGGTTTGGGCATGGACACAGACAGCAGGCATTGCTGTGGGGAATGGCCCTTCTTTGGTGACTGTGATAGAGGAAAGTGTTTAGTAATATCCTGACGTCCTGAGTGCACAGAAACGAATATTGATCCTACTGGTAAAACTAGTTAAATGGCTTCTTTCTAGTAAGATATCAACGTTTGGGTTTAAGGGTCTGAAACAGGAATTCCTTGTTACAGTTCATTCAGTTTTTAGGGTCATATCATCACTTTCTAGATAATAAAATGTTGCCCAAACAGATTGTTACCAGTGAGACGATGTGGCTGAAGAGATGTCAGCTAACGGGGAATGCTTTGGAGTAACCAGCTATAGAATATATTTGAGTCAGGTGTCATGTAGTCTCTGAAACTCAGAGAGCGATCACTCTATGTAATTGGTCCAAATTTGTTAGCAGAAGATGCATTTCATACACATGGGCTACTTGTTCAGCCACAGCCTGCTTGGATAACAGTATTCTCGATAGTAACATGTATAAATAAATAAGTTTGAAAAATAATCCAGGATAAGGTCTATCAGTAACTTATCTAAAGTAGAAAAAAGCCAAACTGTTACTTTAATTGTACGTTTGTTTCAAATTTTCTATCTTGCATGTCATCATTGAAAGTAT